TTTACATGCATTTTTTAATATATAAATAGATTTATTTTTTCTAATTAGATTTAAGTTAGGTTTTAATTTGTTAGAATTTAAAATCAAAAGAAAAAAAAACAAAGAAGTAGATTTGGTCTTCTAATTTTGTTTGGGCCAGCTTAATTTGAAGCCTAAAATGTAATTTGCCTTAAACATCCGCCCCAACCCAATACCATGCCCGACCCGCCGGCACAGTACTCCCCGCCTCTCATTAAAACGCAGCTCCACCTTCGTTCACTGCCTAGTTGAGTTCAGTCCGTCAAGGTGTTTCCAAAATCGATTGAACCCTACCCCCCCAAAATTTCGATCGCTATTCTCTTCGAATTTGGGGATAATTGTTCAGGATTGGAGTTGAAGTTTCATAGACTTAGAAAGGGATCTGATTCTGTGAATACAACTCTGACCTTCTGCGGAGTTATTTTTCTAGTTGATTTCTGGGATCCAAGGCAGTTTAGAACTCGAAACTGAAGCTGCTCTGTTTAATTTCTGCTGTTGAAACTGGTGTTTATCTAGTTGAACCTCATCTCATAGCTTCTTCAGACCTTTGTAGTTGTTTTTCCTGTTAACAGGTACTAGTATTAATACTCGCGCGATGCGCGGATAATTAAAAAGAACGATGTACACCGTAAAATTTAACATGTTAGTGTTAATACCATCTTTTACAACCATACATTAAAAATATTTTAGGACTTCCGTAAAACTTTCATTCCATCTCCTAATAAATGTTCAATAAAAAATAATGACACTATACAATTTGCTTGATATGAAGGTTCCATGAAAAATAATTATGCTATACAATTACTTGATATGAAGCATGTGCCTAAGGGAACATTATTGTAGCAAATGCTCATGGACATATTGCAGTGCATTTTTCAGAAGTTGTCCTCTGTATTGATGTTTATCACTACAAAAAGGCATGGGTAAAAATTCAAGAATTTCTTGTCCTTGGACGACAATTTTTGACGGAAATGAGAGACAACATATATTGTATTACTGATGAGATAATGAAGAAGACATGCTAGAATGATCCTTTAGAAGGAAACTTAGTTGACATCTAAAATTGTTGTACACTTTCAGATTTTGAATAAGTGTAGAATAAAATATATTCAAATACATCAATAGCTTGGATTCTAGGAAGCCGATAGATCTCATCACACCAACATCAGAATCTAGATGAGCTTCATATGCATGCACTTGGACTACAGATAACATAGTCATAGGTCACTGTTCTATGTCAGTACAGGTGACATCCTTTTAGACTTTCTCAATGCATCTAGCTTATATTATGCTCTCTGCAATAAGTTATCCAACTTTGCATTAAAGTAAAAAGTTGCATACTACCTCAATATAGAATTCTCCAGTTTCTGGTTCTTTGGCCACTGTTACTGTCCACCCAGCAGCAGATGAGGATTGCTAGTATAATCCATTAGTATTCTCCATTTCTCACTAATCTGCAAGCTCTAACACGATACGACAATAAAATACACAAATGCAGTAACCAATAATGATAGAGAGTAAATCATATATATAAAAAAAGAGAAATACTTAATTGACTTCAAGATTCTAGGAGTGAGGTGCTGGAAAAAAGCTAAAATGTCACCTCTGACGAACTGCCACATAACATAGTTATACCAAATTAAAAATATTAATTAAAGAAAATGATACATAAGACCAAAGGATCATAAGACAATAACAATACTCAATAATTAAATGATAAATCATTTAATAACAGCTCTTCCAATAGTTGCATGAATTCGATCTCCCCAAAACAAAAAATTTGAAAAGAAAGTTAAGTTAGTAAGGCGCATAACTTGAATAAAATACATCACAACTCGAAAAAATAACAACAGCTAAAAAAGTATGCACCTTTCATCTTGAATAATTAATTCAATTTAATTAGGATTTTCTGGTTTCTCGCGGTCTGGAACGTGCCATAATCTAACAACACGAACCTTCAAATTCCAACTCATTTTGGGCGTTGATATTTCGCTGATATAGTTATAGTTTGGAGCCATACTTTGCAGTAGTTTGTGCGCGTAAGCTAAACCCTAAGCAATGTAGAGAAGCCTAACCTAAATAAAAGTTGCTTAAATAAAGATTTTTAAGGAAAGACTATCGTAGTAAATCAATTTTAAGGCATCTGAAATCTTAATTTTTAAAAAAGGTATGTGTAAATCAATGTGTAAGAGTGAGTGCGCTCAAGAAATGATACAGATCTTTATTTTTTTAGCTTTAGGCTTTTTGAATTTTTAGCCTTCGTTTATTTTTTTGTTAACCACGAAGCTTTAATTTTTCTTGTCTTTTTCCTTTGCCCTCTTGTTAATAATATTACTTCCTTTAATATAATATAGATGTAAGGTACAAAATATTTATTTAATTAATTCTTTCTTAAAAAAGAATACCTACCATAATTGAATTATACACAAAATTTAATTAAAGATATCTATAATAATGTATATTGTTCACAAATAAGGTCAAATACAAAGCTTGTACTAAATAAAAATTATTATTTCAACTTAAAATTAATGTGTAAGATACAAAACGAAATTAAGAAAATTTAATTAATTCTTTCTTAAAAAAGAATACCTACCATAACTGAATTATACACAAAATTTAATTAAAGATACCTATAGTAATGTATATTGTTCACAAATAAGGTCAGATACAAAGCTTGTACTAAATAAAAATTATTATTTTAACTTAAAATTAATGTGTAAGATACAAAACAAAATTAACTAAATTTAATTAATTCTTTCTTAAAAAAGGATACCTACCATAACTGAATTATATACAAAATTTAATTAAAGATAATTGGCTTTGATTAATTAAAGAATGAAATTCAACTTACAAAAAATCTTGGACTACTATTTCCATTAAATATGTTTCCATTTATAATTCAAATTGTTAATGTTGTCTTAAAATTGCCAAATGACTTCATTTTAGCTTGCCACTTGGCTTAACCACATGCTTCACTACTCTCCTTTTAATATAATATAGATATAGATGTTCCACATGACTGTAGTCCGCATTTAAGTTTATGAGTAAAGTTTGAGTCGCTCAAGTGCTTGTTCCTGATTAATTTCATAGAAACATCAATGATTTTTCTTAAAGCTCTCTATATGTTAGTTTTTTTGTGGTGATTGTTTGCTTAGAACTGCATGTTTTGCACTAAATTCTTTTCTCTGATTTGGTTTAACGATTGTTCAATGCTAAATATGTAGTTTAAATAGAAATCAGTCCTCTAAATTTCACACTCGGTGGTGTTTTCAACTGGAAGTGACTCCCTACTGTAATATATGTCAAAGTTGCTTAAATGTGTGTCATCTTTTGTTGTTATACTAAATGCTTGACCAAATAGGTATTAATCTGAGATTGTTAGCGGGAGTGAGCAGTTGTAAGTGAATACAATGGCTGAGATTACAAAGGTGATATACATTGCGTGAAGAAAAGAATGTGATGGTTTATTAGTATGAAGGAAGAAAATAAGCAATACTCCCTCCGTTCCAATTTATGTCAACTTGTTTGACTGAGCACAGAGTTTAAGAAAAAAATGAAGACTTTTAGAATTTGCGGTCCTAAACAAGTTAAAAAGGGGCCCAGAGTATTTGTGTGGTTATAAAAACTTCTATTTGTGTGGTTATAAAAGCTTCTCATTGAGGGTAGAATTGTAAGTTTAAGCTAAATTGTTTCCAAATTTAGAAAGGGGTCATTCTTTTTGGAACGGATCAAAAAGGAAATAGGTTCACATAAACTGAAACGGAGGGAGTATAAGATAGGATGAACCAGAAAGAGGCGTAAAAATCTTTTGGTTGAATCTAACCGGTTATGGGTTGTATACTCAATAATTGAGCGAAGTGAGAGTAGGGGATAGGGGGTGGGATGACTAAAGAAGAAGATGGCATAGGGAATATTGATGGACAAGAATTTCTTTTTTATATATATTTTTACGTGAAACCTGACTTGGACCGCATGTACTATACCCCTCAATTTATGATATGGTTTTGAGTGTGACAATGAGGCAATAGTTTCATTATGAACAAGAATAGGGTGGTTATAGGACGCATGCAATGCTGAAGTGTGCAACTGATTTTTTGAGAGACATTACAAATTTACTGATCCATAAAAGCTCCCCAAACAAGAAAACATATTAAAAGGAAACGTTTACTTTGACAAACTTTAGGGGGTGACATACCATTTCTCCTAAACTTGTGGGCATCCAAGTGATAAATAGAAGTACCACTCTCTCGAGTAGGGGTATAAAAATCCGAAAAATCGAACCAAACCGAAAACCGAACCAAACCGATAAAAAACCGATACTTTTTAGGTTTGGTTTTGATTTTGAATTTTAAAACCCGATCAAATTTGGTTTGGTTGTGGTTTTAATAAAAAAATAACCGAAAAAATCAAACCAAACCGACTATAAAAGTAGCTATTTAAATTTATCATGACACATGTATATATGTATATTTTTATATAAAATTTCTAAAATTTTATGGTACATATTAGTCGTTTGTATTTTTAGTATAGTTTTTTGCTATTATAATAATCTAATTATTTGCATTTACATTCTAGTTTGATTGGTAGTTTTCTTTTGCTAAATACAAGAATTTATTTCATATTAAAAATAATCAATTTTTAATTGAGTACTTAAATTATTCATCACTATTTGATTCAATTATCATTAATATATTTTGGTAAATGATAGATTTCTCAAAGAGCAATTGGTTTGATAGTGTTACGTTGAAAATGTAACCGTCGTAATATGCGTTTGGTAGAGTATGTCTCATATTTAAGAAAAAACCGATAAACAACCGAAAAATCGAAAATCGAATCGATAAAAAACTGACTTAATTGGATTGTTTTGGTTTCAATTTTTGAAAAACCGACTTACTTGGTTTGGTTTTTATTTTAGAAAAAAACCGACCCTAGACCGAACCGAACACACCTTAATAAATAGTCTCGACTTGTTTCAGTTCAGTGAGGCGGGAAGCGCTAATTTAGCAGAATTTTCACAGGACCGAGAGAGAGAGAAAATCAAATGCAATCGAAAATTAGCAGCTTCTTCAAGCCCTCTTCTTCTACTGCAGACCCATCCCAATGTTGCAGTGATATGTTTGATTATGGGAGGTTACAGCCAGAAATTGTTGTTACTTACCAGCGCAGACCTCAAAATTCATTTGGGTACATTCTCTATTACTTCTTTTATCTTTACTTAATTCCTTTTTCTCTACTATTGAATCTTGAAATTTCTGTCCTCAAGATCTTTGATTGGAACTTTTCTTAATCCAATTTTTTATTTCCTTCTATATTTTATAGTTTTGCTTTTTGGACATTTTTTACATACATATTACCCAATTCTTTTCTGCTGTAGTTTTCCCCCCTTTCATATTTACCTAATTACTAGCTGTATAACCTAGCTTTGTTTTCTGCCTCTATGAGAGGTTGATTGGATATTACCTCAGTCGAATTACCAGTAAAACTAGAATCTTTGACTCTCAACATATGAAACTGATGTATTATATGGCTTTCGTTCAGCTTTTCGAGTTGGATTCTTAGCAGCCTACACTTCAGCACCCTGTTTATTTTTCTTATTTGAGGTAGTAATCAATTTTTGTGCTAAAAGGAAAAATAAAAGAATGAAAGCAAATTGTAGTAAAGGAAAGAAATTTTGAAAAAGTCAAACAGGAAAGGGAAGTCTATGTTAATGAGCAAGCACACTAAATCAAAATGTCGTGGTTGGATTTTATCCAAAATGGAAGGAACTAAAGAGAGGTAAAAGGAAAATGGAGATGATCAATTGCTAAGTAAGTGAGAAAACGCATATATTTGTTCATCATCTCTGTCGTCTACTTACAATTACCTTGTTTGTTGATTGAAACTAGCCTTCTCTCTCTTCTATAAGACGCAGATAAGGAGAACCAATTTAAGGACAGTTTCTTATCATCACACCATTAAACTATTCATTATGATTTTAAGTACAAAAGTATGATCATTACAATCTTTCCTAAAACATTTTCTTAATTTTTTTAAACAAGTAGGTTTTCTGCCAAAATTATGTGTTTGGAAAAAAATTACATCTCCGTGTTGTTACTACCATTGATGATCATTTTTATTTCCCCTTCAAGTTCTTTGCTAATGCTAAGCTGATTTTGCAGTGAAATCGATGGTGCATCAACTGATGAAGCATCCAAGGAAATAGACTTGGAGAAATTTGTGCCAGACCTGGGGGTGGCAAAGTCTGGGAAAGTTTTGAATAAGAAGAGAAAGTACGCCCAATTTTATTTGGAACTGGGCCAGTCTGATTTTTTATTGCATACTTGTACCGTCTGTGGCTTCAAGTATGCCAGAGGAGATGAAGGGGATGAAAAGTTTCATAAGACATTTCACAAGAATTATACGCATGGTATTCCATTTAAGGTAATTCAGCAACAGGGTATGTTATTTCAAATTTGCATAAAATTATTAAAAGATTAAGTTCTATCCTGCTGGGATTTGATAAAATGTCCAGGGTTGGCGGAATGAAAGAGTTCTTCAAATTCCTCCACTTGAAATTGGCCGAATTATTTTGGTGCTGGACGATGACCCTCCTCTTCAGAGAAACAAGGTTTTCAGATACTATTTGGTTATACATGAAACACTGTATTTTGACGTTCACGATTGATATTCTCTAGTTAATCATGTTAAACAAAGTGTTCATAGACTTAAAGAGAGTGTGTTGTTGGCAGGTACAGGAAGTTGTGAAGATGATGGAGATGGAACTTGGAGATGGGTGGATATATCATCAGCTATGCAAGGTTCCGTTCTCTTGCAATTATAAGAAACTTACTGTCATAGAAAGTAAACTTCATTGTTCAAAGCTATTCACTAATCAATATCAAATTTCAACTGTCCAGCTTTCTACTTATATTTTTTATAATTTGAGTTGTAAGTTACTTGAGCTCAATGAAGCTTCTTAATCGTGCTATGACGTTGAATGGTTGTCCTCATTTTGCTGACTAATTTTTATGAAGAATTCTCCCTTCATGTGGCGGTTATGTGAGAGGCTGAGTTTGTCTAGCTATGTGGATGAAACTCTGAAACATTTCTCCTGCTAACAGGTTTATCTGTTTATATCTTCTCAAAGAATATCTGGATGTCTGGTAACAGAGCCCATAAAGAAGGCGTATAAGATTCTCTCAAAATCAGAAAGCAGCAGGTGTAAGGTTTCACCTGAGAAGGAAGCAAGACGGACTTCAACCACACTCCAATTTGGGGGAGTGAGTTTCCAAAGGGAAATTGTAAGAATAAATCAATCAACCAAAAGCCATGAAGAGTCTGATAGTGGAGTAATCTTGTGTGAGAAGGAAGCTGTATCTGCTTTATGTGGCATTAGAGCCATTTGGGTCAGTCCCTCCAACAGAAGAAAACATATTGCCAGCTATTTGCTGGATGCTGCTAGGTAATGCGATTCACTTTCTCAGAGTTGTTATGGTTCCTTGAAGTTTTTTTATTGTAAATATATTGCATGCTTAATGAACTGACAAAAGTTAAATATACGGGGTTCAAACTAGTAATTGCTCCTTTTGAATTGGAAACAAAAGAATTCATGTCTGAGAAACGAGACCACTGGAAAAAGGAAGAAAGGCGACAGTGACTGATAGAACAAAACTAAATTCCATAAGTGAGGGTCTGATGCTCTCACTTGACAAGTGTCTTTGTAAACTTGAAGCTGAGTTTTTCTTCGCTTGCACTTGATAATTTATGAAAGGGGTCCTGGTATGCAAGTATTCACAGAATCAGAGTGGTGTACGCCATCAATGTAGTATGAGAAGATCCTACCACAGTGTACTCTATCTATATTGCAGAAACAGAATGGTGTAGTACTTTCTTCTGCTCAAGTACATGATCGAGTCGCTTGATTGGTGCTTCTCAAGATGAAGAGCTGTCCTCCAGCTTCGTAAAGTTTACCAGAGACTTCTACTCTCCCGGTACAATTGCAGTTTCAGACATAATGCCTCTAGTTTTTCCATGCAATAATTATCTTGATAAGGAAATTGTTCTGAGGAATATAGCTGAGTGCTATCAAGGAGGTTTAGAGATGATTAAGAAGGTTTTGCCCACTGCTTCCTTTATTCAACGTGCAACATTTTCAAATTCATGCTATTACAAAGGTGTTCATGGTGATCAAGTGGCTGTTACGGGCAAGGATTATGCTTTACTCAAGCCTACTGAAGAACAGTGGATACAAATGCAAACGTCCTTAGATATCAGTTTCAAAGGAGTTCTGGGATTCTTGGTGCGGTATTTACTTGCATAACGCGAATTGGTTCTTGAATTCAATTGCCAAATGATAATGTCTTTAATATCTACAGTCATACGGAAGAAACTGAAAACTTTGTTGTTGAGCATCACTGGTCTCTACTCTCATTGTCTTTTAAGAGTTTGGCTAAGGTGCATTCCACAGGTGATAGGAAAATGAATGTGATAAGACAACAAATTATTCGAACTCCATGGCCTGGTCTGGTCAGTACCCAGCTGGGCCTCTTTTGTTCCATTAAATTTAGGATACGACACTATGTAAAATACTACTCTCAATATTGCCCCTCAGGATTTTGGTCTAGGGGTAAGAGTGTAGCATGTGATTTGAGGATTAGGCGCATGTCACGGGTTTGAACCCTGCCGCACTCAAGAGCCTGGTTTTTGAGTAGAGAAGAGTTAATGGCGGTCCCATTATTCACAGAGTTTCGGACCGTGCACTATTGCCCCTCTGAGATTTCTCCGTCATAAAAAAAAAAAAAAAATAGAAACATATTACCCTTATATTAGACTGCCCCTGAGATTTGATAAAAGAAAGGTGCATTAGCAGTTAATACATTGTAATTGGATAAGTTATAATGAATATGTCAAAACGAAATGACCAAGGAAAGAAAGAAAAGCACACCAAAATGAAAGATTGGATGTTGCTTCGTAGATGCTCACACGCAGAGTTCGTCGTTGAAGCATTGGATGTGCTTCTATTTCGCAAATAGAGTTTGTCTGACCGTGCTCTCTGCAAAATAACTGTTGCATTATAAATTTGGTCAAATAAGTTACTTGAAGTTGGTAAAATGGGTAATAACTATTTTCTTTAAATTAAACTCATTGTTTGCCATTTGCCGTCTGGAATGCCAAAGTTCCGCATAGATTTGGATTGCTTATGATTTACATTTAGTCTGAACTTGCTTCTCATTCTTCAATGCAGGGGAACCTTTTGCAAGAATTTAGTTCTTAAACGCTCAGAGTTGGCCTATTCTCAGCCAACCTCAGTTGGAAGGGCCTTCATATCCAGTTATACAAGCAGTGACTCTTTCTTTGTTTATACAACTTCTGATCTGTAGTAAGGGTTTAAGAAAATAGCATGTTGATTTTTTTATGCCAAGTATATTTCAGTTAGCCTAGTAATTTACTGGATAATCCATCTATGTTCATGTGTGGAAACTTATTGATATTTCTTTGTTTTGACTGGAGCAGACAAAGCTATTCTTTCCCAATATATTACATGGTTAAGGTAAGAGTCTGGCCAAGCTCTGTTACAGGTGTAGACTGAGTCTAGTCTGTAATAATTTTCTTGCTCTCAGCAGGTGGTTATATATCTTTAACTGGAGGTCAATTATTTGGCTCCACGCGAGAATAAGTTTTCTCTACGTTAAATGCTTCTTTGAATTTCACTGGTTCATTCATTTCTCTATTCAGTTTACTTTCAACTGTGTTGCACGTCAAATGACTCATCTAGTCTAATGCATTAATGTAAAAGAGGGGTTGAACTAATATAGATGACCATTGCAAGCTAAACTGGGAGAGCATAGTGGACTTTGACAGTCAATGTTTGTGGTTTGATGTGCCATCTGTAGTATGCCTCTGATTTTGAAGAGATACGGGGAATGAATCTCTGAGGAGATGATTGCGACATTGATAACGGGAGGACAACGAAAAAACACACTGCTGTAGCCCATAAGACATCTGCTTGGGGAAGCCAAGTCTCTAAGCACAAAACAAATGCCTTGAGTGAATGGAGAAACCAATTTCTGGTCCTTCTTCCTTTCATTTCCTTCTCATTTCCTGTTTTCTTTTCCATCTATTTCCCTTCTTTTTGACCTTTCATTTTCTTTTGTTGTTCTTTTTCTATTTCCTTCCTCTTTGTGATCCCCTTGTAGTCCATCCACTACAACTCAGTCATTACCTGTGTTTGCTCCTCTATGGACATTGGACACCTACAGAAGCCAACACAAACCTCTTTGAATGATCTTTCTATTTGAAGAAGGATTTACTAGGAATGATTCAGAATACTCAACTCTATCTCTCTAGGTAGGGGTAAGGTCTGCGTACACATTGTTACGCAACGCCTTCCTGATGTTCCTTGGAAGGGCAACGTAAGGCTAAGCAACCGATGTCAATGCGGTTGTTGTCCACCAATGAGGTCCCCTCCGCACGCTAGACTAGATTGTCAGTGTCGTGCGGGAAAACCAATGTCACGAGCAATTTCGGAAGCTGAGAGTGAATTGAGTTTTGAATGATGATGATGATTTTATTGATGAATGAAAGCTGATTACAAAAGATGCGGTGTCGAGGGGGAGAGACACCAGTACAGAAAATTGATTGCTTGAAAATGTTTGATTGCTTGATCCCCCTAATAATGCTTAAAAAAAAAAACCAAAGTTACATGACTTGTCCTAATAAAGCTATAGAAGCACACTGAATGAAAATGATGTAAACTAGCCTATAATTACAATGAAAAGGACTTAGTTTATTACAATGTAGAAACAAGTCTGATGGCAGCAACTTTGTCTTAGGGGTCAGGGTCTGCGCGCGCTGGNATGGCGCTAGGCATTGTGAGGCTTGCTAGGCCGCCATGGGGCGCGACCAAGGGGTCATGGGGCGCGACCATGCTAGAACCACGGAACTCGGAAATGTCTAACACCTTCTCCCGGGTTAACAGAATTCCTTACCCGGATTTCTGTATTCGCGAACTGAATAACAGAGTCAATCTTTTCCTCGACTCGGGATTTGAACCGGTGACTTGGGACACCATAAATTATCCCAAGTGGCGACTCTGAATTTCAAATAAATAATCTTGTTTCGATTGTCACTTAAATTGGAAAAACTCCCTTATACACCCCTCTTCCAAGGGTGTAGTGAAAAAAGAGGTGTAACAACTACTGAGTTTTGTTGTTGTTGTATAATTCTTATAATGAGATCAATATTACTACGTACTATATTTTAGTTGTCCTTCCAAGGGTTAGGGTAAGACTGCGTACATCTTACCCTCCCCAGATCTCACACTACTGAGTTTTGTTGTTGTTGTGCTATATTTTAGCTCCCTAAACAAGCATTAATATTTTATCGGAGGACAACAGTACACGCGGAAATGTGTTAGGCTTTACAGTATTGTTGAGCTGATTAATTATTTATTTGACCATTATTAGGCAAGAAAATATGTCCAAGGTAGTTAGTTGAACAAAATTGAAAGGTTCAATTATCAATTAACTGTCCTATAGGAGAAACTAATTAGGTATGCCCGTGCTAAAGTACGGGCCCAATAACAACTTTGGTTTTTGAATTACATTAGAATGACCAATACTTTCTGCTTCTGTGCTATTGGAAACTTCATTTCTACTGCGTTAGGTAAAGATTAGAACAAAAACAAAAAAAATACTATGATTAATTATTAATAATATACAAACATAACAAAACTGAATACTATAGATTAATATTAATAACATAAAAAGTTCACAAAACATTTAATTCAAGAGTAGGGTTGAGCAGTTCTTGCTAAAAATATTTCTCTTCATATGCAATTTCTCCCATCCATTATCTGCAAGTAATTATATAGTTGAGGATTCATTTTGTATTTCCTTTTCAGGTATTGTTGTCACTTGCTTCAGCTATTTACACCACTGCAACCAAGAGGAAAAAGCAAAGAAATATATCATATTTTTTTGCTTTTGTTCCTAATATAACACTTATTGATTACTGAAGGGTACCCAAGGTTGGTTCAATATGAAAGTTGAAACAGTAAAAACTAAAAGGAGGGAAGAATCCCAATTTTATACAGAATCTTACAGAACATTGTTCATTTAACTTCAAGTAAAAAAAATTAGATGACTGTTGTCTTTAGAGTTTCTGGCAGAGGCGGATTTACAGTATAAAATATGGTTCACGTGAACCCGTGGTCATCGGGTTAAAGTATTGATATGATATACATAATTTGGCAAAAATAAGTATATATATTTGATGGAACTCATGGTCAAAAGAAATGAAGTGGTTCATTGGTTTTGATTTCTTATTTCCTATAGCCTTAAGGGTCAGGGATCAAATCCCCAACCAACTTTTTTGTTTAATTTGTTTTAGGTTTCTGGAGCAAAGGTAACATATGTAACATAAGGTGTAATCTCTTCTTCGCAGGTTCACATGTACCAAACAACCATTGTGCAATGCTCAAAGCTAATGACTTTGGGTGGAGCATTTTCTACTATTCCAACTTATAGATAATTCAGAGTTTAAGAAACAGAAAGTTTATATCATTTTATTACATAAGATAGGTCTTCAACTTCTACTGCAAAATAGATTAGTTGAATTTCCTAGACACTGAAATATCAATAGCATTATGTGTGGCTGCTTCATCAAAATTAAAATTTCTCTAGCTCCTCTGAGCTCATCCAAATTAATGACATGAAGCCCAAACAACCAGCATAAACAGAAAATCGAGATAATTTTGTATGACTAATCAAAGAGTGACACTTGGAATAATTTGTCAAGCAAAGCAGTCTGAAAATGTCAAATGGGTGAAGTTAATTTTTCAAAAAACATTAATACATTATTTCAAAGCGCTAAATCTAAGCAATCTAAGAGCTAGTTTTACCGTATGACACATCATATAACAAGACAAAAAAGATAAGTTCCCAGTCTAGTACCGTCTTGTATAGCTACTTAACTCCCTTCCCTCAATAATCTAGAGTGNATATCTAACCCAATGAAGTTCAACTTATTATACTTTCAAAAAGAAATCAAGAAGCAAAAAGATTAAAAATACTAAAATATTACTCACATTGACCATAGGCATGCAGAGGGCTGTAATTCTTGCACCGGCCAAGTAATTTGAGCAAATATTCGCCGTCGGTATCAAACAACTGGTCGTCGCCTTGCTGGAGAATAATCCAATCCAATTTTTTATTCAGAAATTTCACTCCAGTTCTTCAAATCCCTTTGAATCATTAAATTTACCTGACGCCATCGAAGATCAGTACTCGCACCTTCTTTTCTCGCAGTTCTTTCCACATCTGAATTGCATTTGGTCGAAAAATAAAGAACCCTCCGTCGGATTATTACGTGAAATAATTGGGACTCTGTTTTGTGTTACCCTTCTTGCCGAGAAAAGGGTTTGGTTGCGCATTCAGCGGATTTGGAAGCGCGTCCGGACATCTGATCCAGGTTCCATCTTTCTTGTGTTGTATTTGCGCACATCTCTGTTGCTTTGCCGGAAATTTTAATTGGATTGATTGCTTTTTTTATCTTTTCTACTAGTGTTTCAAGCTTAAGATTTTATCTATCCATTTTAATTCTGTGTTTGCATAGGGGTAGTTTCTTAGACGTGGTAGATTCATTGTTCTAGTGCCTGCTTGTGTTGTTGTTCTCCTAGTAGCTCCTTTGAGTTGTTTTTAGCTCTCGGGTTCGTAGCTTGTAGTCCTTCATTCTCGTTACTTGCTCTTGGTGATAGTGTTTACCTGATACCTTTTGCTTATAGTGGTGATAGTGAACGATGTGAGAGTAAGGTCATGTTCTCGGGTGGGGTCTAGGGGTGGGAAGGGGGTAAGAAAGCATAGAGTTGGGTCTTGGAACATTGGGACATTGACGGGGAAGTCTATAGAGTTATGTATCATTGAGACATTCAAGAATATTGTCAAACAACCTCAGTGCATCATTATTCAAATTGATACCCCATAAAATTTCATTATTAATAATTTGGTGAACCTAAAAAGGGAAAAATAGGGGGGAAAACTTAGCAGAACTGAAAAAATTAGAGTACGCATAGTATTTTTCGAGAATGACAGCCAATGGAAGCCCTGAAAAGCTTCGAAGAAATGTCTAATTTCAGTACCTTTTGGGGAAATTTACTATCCCTCACACAACGCAAAATCAATAGTAGCTTTACTTTCCAGTTAAAGGAGATAGTAAATAGAGAAATTCATCTGAATCACCAAATTAAGTGTACAATCTATTGCGATCTTCACTAAGGGAAGAAGAATTAATTTTGATTATCCAA